TAATAGAGAAAGTTGCCGTTCACAGGATTCGCCGTGCAAATCAATGGCTGAGTCCCCTCAGCCGGGTTTTCCGTGTTCACATCCAGGTGGCTAAATACCACAGGGTCGACAAAACCGGGCAATGCGGTCGGATGAGTGGAACAGGTCTGAACGCATTTCGGTTTGGGGACGTAACCGTTTACTTTGTTCAATTGAGGCATATGTTGTGTGGGGAAGAAACAACATTGTGGCACGCTCAACAGAGACACCGTTTGTTCCTCATCTCTCCCGGGGGTCAAGGGTTGATGATGATGATGATGATGGTGATTATGATGAGGAGTGAGACATCGATTCATATTGGCCGCACACCGAGACCCGGCGGCTCGACCCAGTAGTCGACCAGCACAGTTTTTCGAAGTTCCGTTGGATTCCGGCAGCTTGGATTCATTCGCCTCCTCGACTTGGGGTTGTTCGCGCGGCTGATTTCGTCGACCACAACAATTAAAATACCGTTTAACGGACTTTGGAAGCCAAAATGTACACAGCACGATCTGCATTCCGACTAGGGTCAGCAAAGCCAGTGAGCCGGGGAGAAGAAGGAATCGGTAGTTGCTCCAATCGGACGCCTCGTCTATCTGGATCTTGTTCCGATTCACAAGGGATTTGCCCGAGTCCGGCACCGAGTTCAACGAATCCGGATCTTCTGTTTGCGATGCCATACTCATCGTTGTATTTACTAGAGAATCTGTGAGTGCGATGGGGGAACCAGACGGGAGAGAACAGAATTATCACCACTGAGAAACAGGGAACGCACGCTTATGTTTATCTAACAACGAGTAACGAACGCATGGAGTAACACAAGCCAAACACAGAAATCGATTGTTGTACCTCTGATAACATTCACATGAAGGAAAAATACTACTAATGTATGTAACAGCAGATCGCTTGATGTTATCAACTAACTGATCTGACTGAGTTTTGAATCAGATGCTCCCGACAACCTGCGTAATTACAAGGATTGCTGGACAATTTGCCTCCATAAAACTGGCCACTGAATGTTGGTGAAGGAGGTGAGCATGTGTTTTCTTTGAGTCTATTGTGAAGTGAAGCTCACAAATCATCAGCATCATTGAACAGCGAAATACAGTGAGGGGAAATTCACTGATCGTTGCCAAACTCGCAATGCATACGAGGTTAGTGGTAATATTTGAGGTAGACAGGAATTGGACTGACTTTGAGGGAGGGAGAAGAAGGCGAACCATTATGGTCAACACGCAGAGTGCACAATCGATCTATGCATACATGCGGTTTCATTTGTTCTGGTATAGTAACAAACGACAACGCGAAGGCCACTGCTGTCTGTTTACTACCATATGTTTCAATGTTTTCAAGCAACCGGTTTGGGCTCGATGTGGTAGATGCAATAAGTGTCCTAACCAGCGAAGTCTACTGATCTGAATTCGGTGAGCTAGCAGATTTATACATGATAGAATCCCAAGCACACGACAGCTTATTTGCTCATTACTAATCCATTCGCTCCATCCAGAGTGGGCTAAACTGCGTAAACACCGATAGTCGAAAACCTCCAGTCGATGGATATCTTCTCCTTTCCTGTGCTACCGTCATTGGTCACGCAGCTACCTAAGTAAGAAAAGTAATCCACCTTCACTAATTCCTGAATATCAAGTTTCAGAGCGGGGGTAGGCAAAACCCAGTCCTGCAGCATCACTTTGCACTTTGAAGGTGCAAAGCACATACCGAAAGTGGCAACAGCACTTGTTAGTCTATCGAGTGTGCTTGAGCATCCTCCATACATTCGAATAGACAGACGATATCTTGGCGTACTCCAAATCGCACAGCTTTTCTCCAGTTGCCCATTCAATACATACGTTTTGGTGACCACTAAATGCGTCCCATTCTGTCCAAGCGTCAGAATCATTCAGGAATTCTATCTGGTCCCACAGTGCCTTCTTTATTTTCACAATCGTATCCGTCGCAACCCATTCGCCAATTCAAACCTGGTGGACTCTCAACGAACCCCACAACGCATTTAATTGAAAAACAAAATTTTGAAAAGCGGTTCTCGCAGCTCAGGTAGACTGAATTCATTTTCACCCGGTCGCCGAGGGATTATTGCATTTTACTGTATTGTATTCGTGTAGGTTGTGTAAGCACATGTACTTACCATTCAGTTAAAACTGTTCACTGTTCGTCAGGCATAATAAAATAATAATGATAATAATAATGAAATATAACACGAAAGATCATGAATGTCGCTGAAAGTATTTTCATGTACAGAACTTTTGACGTGGTTCACTGGCAACCTGTTCCTATCTGGTTAGGAGTAGAGCCAGGTAGGGTACAGGGGAATTTTTATAACTGTAAATGCGAGAGGGAATATGCCGAAATGAGGAACGTGTGAACGGACGGGAACTGCCAGACGATAGTTCACAGTGTAGTGAATGAAGAGGGTCATCTAGAATCTTNTATGGGTAAATTTAACACAAGAGTTGATGTGACTATCAATGAGTTCTGTGATTATTGAATCGATCGGAATTAATGATGATCATCAAACCACGGTAAATTGTTTTGAAGTCTTGTTTTAACAGACCGGAAAACACTGCAGGGGAGCAATAGAGTAAACTGGGTAGAACGCATTGATGAAAGAAATGCGACTGGACTGACTGTGGGGTTTGGAATTTACTGAGATTGCGTAAGTGAAAAGATAGAGATCTCAGTTTTCACATACAGTTGTATATATGCGTAGACCAGTGAAGATTGCTTTCAATGGTGAATCATAAGTACTTGATTGAAGCCATTCTGGATATGTGTTCACCGTTAAGCGTATTAGAGTCCGTTGGAAATAAGAAACGGGAAAGACTGGAAATACACTCTACGCACTTAGATATGTTAAGACTGAGACCAGATTGACCAGAAAACTGTTCAATGTGGGATAGATTTTTGGTAAAAGAATGAAATTCCGAAAGAGATGAAACTGTCTGACATGAGCATACGTTTAGATATGCGCAGGGAGTGGGGCCGAAAAATCACCAATAATATTGGATAAAATATATGGAGATAGAACAGCACCTTGAAGAACATCAGAATTATTAACAAGAGATTTTGATGTCCTCCTTCCTAGTTTGATACGCTGGACCCTCTCTATCAAATAGTGATCAAACCATGATGGCAGCTGTCTCGGAGTGACAAAGGATTCAAGTGTGTAAAGAAGGGATGATCGAGAAAAGAATCTAACGTGGACGAATAGTTGAGAAAAACACAACGGTCGAACTATTCAATGACTTGCTGACAAAATGCATTCGGCTGGATACGGTATCCAGTGTAGATTTGTTTGGTTTATAGGCAAACTGAAGAGGGTTATAAGGAATTGTGATGATTGAATGATTGACCGATTCCGGATGGTCTTTTCAGTCAACTTTAGAGCCGCTCGGGACAGCGCGATAGGACGAAACCGTTTGGCAAGAACAGTTGCGGATGAGGATTTGGGGATTTAAATAATAGTCACAACTGACGCCAGGAATCAGGAGTCGACCGGGAAGTTGTTTGCAAACAACAATTTGCTGCGCTCGGTGAACAGGCGAACGTGGATAACACAAAACGGTGAGTACAGTTACGGTGGTTATTTTTAACTATTCCGGCTAAATAACTGGAATTTCAAGACTGTGATTACGAAAGCAGTAGACAAGTGTTTGGAATGTTCAGTAGCTTGTATCTTGACGGGTCTTCATTTTGAATGCCCTCCTTGGTAAGAATCGATCGTCATTTGTTCGAATCGCTCCCAGCGGTTTAGTTGCCCGAAACCCTGATCACACGAGCTTGGGAACATGCACAAATTGTTTTTTTTTTGGCACACCGAGGGGGTTGTTAAACCTCCCCCGGTTCTGGATATGAAAACGAAACAACGCGTACCTACAACTTCTCGGTTCAACTGATTACGGGTTTCTGTTTAAAATTAGTGACATAACGGTGCAATTCAACGGGACTTTCGATTGAAGTCATTGGCTCTGTTTCTCAATTACGCAGGGCGGTGTACTTGGATAGACCCTAGTCGAGCGATGATGACACTGAGCCAACGCTGGACTGGTATGCAACACACACACACACACACACACACACCAGGACGAATTTTCCTTTAGCCTACTTTGGTGGATATTGTGGTCCATTTTTAAGACAAGTTTACGGTTTTATTATTATTATCCGTTTACCGAATCCGCCTCGAAAAAATAGTGTGTGCGTGTTTCACACCGGTCCAGCGTTGGCTCACAGTCATCATCGCTCGAAATTGTTCCATGCAGAAGTCCCCACATGACTCATCGTTCCACACCTGATTCTCTACCCACACTTCAGCAGTATCGGATTCAGAACTTATCCTCCTCCTACATTGCGGGCCCCGAACATCACACGACCGGTCGGATGGTTCAGCCACAACAAGACGCCTGGTGCGTGCTCTTGTTAAGCCGAGCGAGAAGCCAAACCGTATTTACAGCCGTGAGTCTCAGGTAGGCCCAGTGAACTTCTACTGTACAGCAGGAGTGCCATCACCACACGGATAGACTGGACGTGACAAAATGACCATTAGGAAAATGTACAACCCGTTAATCAGACAGTCTCGTGTTAGGGTTAGGGGTTCCATGTGTCGTCAATTGGGGAAAATGATCCAATCAGATGGCAGAAAGGTTCAGACGGAATTTACTTGTTCGAGGTCCCGGGTGAGAGGGACAAGTGCATGTGAAACAATGAAGTAATCGCACTGTACGTAGCGCGTACAGGTGCATCCCCACTTGTTATTTGGACCAGGGTTTCTACTCTTTGATTTTGATCAGGAAGCACATACCCGCCCTCCTTCCTTCTGATTGGATTGTGCACATCAAATAATAACGAACCTTCACCGGTAGGACGAGACCCGTGGTTTCTGCTGTTTCTGTCCCGGTTTGAATGAGCCTTGGTAGCAAATTCTCTAAAGTGATTGTCTCTTTGTCGATTTCTAAGTGGTTTGTCATACTCGCCCGTCTGCAATCCATTCATGCTGAGTGTATCGTTGATGGTAGACGTTTCACCCCAGAAACATTATTCACAGATTGATAAAGAGAGCAACCTGCTTATGTTGTCGCACGGGATTTGTGTTCCGTTTACCGCATGCAGTTATTTTTGTTTGTTTGTTGGAAATTTGATAGGTAAAGACCATGTTTCCCCCATAAAAGTGACTAGTTCCCTAGTTCCCTATATTTTCCCCTATTTGTCTGTTTATACTTTTAAAAAGAATTTGATTTTCGAAATTTTCCCGCCCCCCCCCCCGAAAAAAAAAATTTATACCGCACCCCCATCCATACTTATTCCCGATTGGTCCATTTTTCAGTGACTCACTATTAATTACGAGCTCGTTTCAAAGGTCCATGGTGACCAGTCTCAAAACTGCATATAAAACAGATGAGCTGTCCTCTTTCCCCTTTTTTTACGGTCGCGCGAAATACACAACCTCACCTGAATACTTGTCTTCCTTGTTCTCTCCGGTCCGGTACGGGGATAGTACTACTTCCTGGGGCGTCTCGTTCCCGGTTCTATTGGGACTGGCCTTGGAGTAACGCATTCGAGCACACCGAACACGTCAACTATTCCGCTGGGTCGCACGGTTCGTGGTCACCTTCACTCCAACTTTATAACAAAAGTGCTAGTCACTCGCTAGGCGTCTTCGGTCACTGGCACAGTACATCATAATCGTAATTA